GCCCCCTTCCCCATCTCCGGTACCTACCTTCCTTCTCCTTGAAGTATATGAGGACGTGTCCCCGGCTGCAGTCAATGTCTGGGATCTCGCACTCTCCACCGTCTGATTTGCTCTTGCTCTGGAAATAAGCCTGGAGTTTATTCTTCAGCCTCTTCAGCTTTTGTGGCCCCTGGTTCCAGTGTAGGACCACAGGGTACTGGTAGTTGTTGCTGCCTGCCATCCTGGAGGGAAATGGGAGAGGCGGCAGTGTGAATGTTGATCTTTATGGTTATTGTGAATATTTTTTTTGCAGATTTTAGTTTCACTTTTGCAGGTCAGGTGATTTTCTGTAACCTCAATTCATGAAGTACGTTGTCTCCTCTAGTCCGGGTGATGTAGGTGTGTTACTTTGTATCTAAGCTTGCTTTGTGCAATCTGTATCAGCCATTGCTGTTTGCATCCCATGGTACCACTGCCCTGCAATCCAATCTCTGATGCCCCAAACCTTAGTCTCTGCTGCACCCTCTGCCAAGTCTTCCCTGCCCCACAGAGAAGTTATTGCTGCCCCCACAGTCCAGTCTCCACTGCAACCACTGCCAAGACTTTGCTACCCCTGCTGTGTCTCTGTTGCATCGACAGCCTCAATCCTGTGCGGTACCCAGGGCCGGATTAAAAACAACACGGGTCTGGTGCTGAGAATTGTGGTGGTCCTTTTTATGCAAATGACGACGGTCACCTGGGGCCCGTCAGTGGTGGGGCGCCAGGGCCCGGTTGCAGCTGTGAGTCTGGTAGATCTTCCACTGACTCCAAGCTGTGGAGAGACTACAAATCTCAGCAATACATTATACAGCGATGCAGAATAATACCTCTAACTATAGAGGACTACAAATCCCAGCAATACATTATACAGCAATGCAGAATAATACCTCTAACTATAGATGACTACAAAATGCCAGCAATACAGTATAAAGCAAAGCAGAATGTCACCAACTATAGAGGACTACAAATCCCAGCAACACATTGTAAAGCACTGCAGAATAATACTATCAGCTAAAGAGGACTACAAATCCCAGCAATACTTTATACAGCAATGCAGAATAATATGAGGCTACATACTCTGTGTTGTTCCGGGTTCGCGGCCTGATGTCTCCAGGGTCCCAGGAGAGCTGTGCAGGGTTTAGGGGGAGCTATGCAGGCTCTCAGATGGCCAGTGCGGGCTGTCATGCAGTCAGTGTGCGCTCTCAGGCGGTCAGTGCGGGCTCTAGGTGGTCAGTGCGGGCTCCAGGTGATCAGCACGGGCTCTCAGGTGGTCAGTGCAGGCTCCAGGTGGTCAGTGTGAGCTCCAGGTGGTCAGTGAGGGCTTTTCAGTGGTCAATATGGGCTCTCAAGTGATCAGTGCATGCTCCAAGTGGTCAGTGCGGACTCCAGGTGGTCAGTATGGGCTTTCAGGTGGTCAGTACGGTCTCTCAGGTGGTTAGTGCGGGCTCCAGGTGGTCAGTATGGAACCTCAGGTGGTCAGTAGGGCTCTCAGGTGGTCAGTGCGGGCTCCCGGTGGTCAATATGGGCTCTCAAGTGATCAGTGCAGGCTCCAGGTGGCCAGTGAGGGCTCCAGGTGGCCAGTGTGGGCTCTCAGGTGGTCAGTGCAGGCTCCAGGTGGTTAGTGTGGTCTCCCGGTGGTCACTGTGGGCTCCAGGCACTCAGTGCGGGCTCCAGGTGGTCATTGAGACTGGGGGCTGTGGCCACAGCAGATGCGGCTCTCTGCTCAGGTATTACAGAGGGCCCTCTAAAATGCCTGAATAGAGGTCCGTGTCTGCCCTGTCGCGGCTGGCCCGGATGGCCATCGGACCGGCCACGATTCGGCTAGGGATGGCTGCGTTTCAGGTCGGGTCAGGTTGACTGCGATTTGGGTCGGGTTGGCCGGGCGAATTTGCAAGGGCAGGCCTGGAGTGGGAGCTCCACCCACCCCTATGTTAATCCGGCGCTGGCTATACCTCCTCTGCACCTGCAGCCTCTGTCATCTGCTAAAGGTGCCCATGCACCTGCCGATTATCATACGATAGTTGTGGGTGATCCCGCGAGCGTATGATAATCTGCAGGTGTATGGAAGGCGTGCGACCGTTCCTTCTCTCTTCTCATGCTGGGCAGAACTTCTGTTTTGCAGCAGACTGCCTTGTCTCTGGAATGGATACATGGTGTCTGTGTGAAGGTTCACAACCTGAGCCAGCACTACAGGAAGAGGCACTCAGCTGCAAAGGGAAGTTCTCCCCCAGCATGAGAAGAGATGAGGATTTAAAAGGAAGAGCAGCAAAGAGAAGGGAAACAACCATGGATTACAGTAAGGCGCACATTACAGTATTGGTTTATGTTAAAAAATCTGAGGGGTTAATGTCACTTTAAGTTGGCCATATACCTATATCTCGCTGGTCGGCCCCGCTGGGTGTCAAAACACCTGAACAATGCCGGCATCCAAGCAGATGGTTCAGGGATTTTTGACAGCCAGCCGGGCCGACTAGCAAGATACTGAAGCTTGGCCCAGTGGGAGATTCCTCCATGCGCACAGTTTCTGTTTAAGGGCCAATTTCCACCTGTTAGATATTAATGTACTTTACAGTCACAAGACGTGTTGACTCATTAGGAACGACTTTTACATATAAAGATTGTGGTATTTGGGAGTGTTGGCCGGCCAAGACGGAGCGCGGGATTCACACAGAAATGACTGCAAGTGAAGGAAGACGAGTTCAGCAACATTCATTATTGTCTACCTGCGGCACTTTAAGTACAGAAAACCTGCTGGACTGCAACGCAGCTGTACCATTAAACCCATCCCAGTACCACACACGGGGCCCCAGAGGGCGCCTCTCCCAGCATAACCAGGGGCCCACGCTAACAGTGTCCCCCCCATTCCAGTACCATACATGGGGCCCCAGCCCCAGAGAGCACCTCTCCCAGTATAACCCAGGCCCCTCGCTAACAGTGTGTCCCCCATTCCAGTACCATACATGGGGCCCCAGCCCCAGAGAGCACCTCTCCCGGTATAACCCAGGCCCCTCGCTAACAGTGTGTCCCCCCCATTCCAGTACCATACATGGGGCCCCAGAGAGCACCTCTCCTGGTATAACCCAGGCCCCTCGCTAACAGTGTGTCCCCCATTCCAGTACCATACATGGGGCCCCAGCCCCATAGAGCACCTCTCCCAGTATAACCCGGGCCCCTCGCTAACAGTATTCCCCCATTCCAGTACCATACATGGGGCCCCAGCCCCAGAGAGTACCTCTCCCAGTATAACCCAGTCCCCTCGCTAACAGTGTCCCCCCTATTCCAGTACCATACATGGGGCCCCAGCCCCATAGAGCACCTCTCCCAGTATAACCTAGCCCCCTCGCTAACAGTGTGTCCCCCATTTCAGTACCTCACATGGGGCCCCAGCCCCAGATAT